GGCACAGAGAAAACCTCACTTTGCTGTTCCTGCAGGGAACCTTCACCCTCAGGCTAACCTTAAAGCAAGCATTAACCTACTTATTGTGCCCTGGGGCACTTTGCAGGGTGAGGAAGCTGTCTGTTTGGGAGGAAGAGGAGCAGATCTCAGCATCTGAGTACAATATCCTATGGTCACCTGAGAGTGACAACAGAAACCTTTTGTCATTTTGGCAGAGCTGGGCTAAACCAGGGCACCCTCCCATCCTTGTTTTGAGCCATCTCCTTCCATGAATASACAAAAGAGTCACTGTTTTAGGTGCCCTTTTCTGGGGGTGCTTTGGAACTTTCAGCTTCTTCCTTCTGCCCTTAAAGCTCTCTGACTGTGCAGCGAGGACCCAGGCTGAGTCCCTGTGCCAGGTCTGTTCTGCTTATCTCACAGGATGGGAGAGGGACAAGGGACATGAGCACCACCCTGCTCACAAAACCCTCCTAAAGCTCAGCTGCTCAAAGAGCTAAACCACCACCAGCCAAAGTGGGGAAGTGCCAAGAGCTCCCTGCTCTGGGCCCATGCTCATGAGGCCTGGCTGGTTGGGCAGCACTCGTCCTTTCAGATTCATCCTGCATCACCTATTTCCCCTGGTTCACCACCAAACCCCAAAAACCTGCTGTTGGCCTGACTGTTATCCCAGATCTTCAGGACCAAACCCCAGGACTTGCATTCAAACACCTGATCCCATCAGCAGCAGATAGTGCTGCAGATTTTAGCACGGGTCAGCACGGTGCCTCCTCTGGGACACACACCAGAGGGGAACCAGAGCACAAAGTCCCAGCCCTGGCTCTGGGGACTGCCTAGAGACAGTGGCAAAAACAAAATAAACAGAACCACAGGTGGTGAAGTGAGTGGGCACCACCAGGATGGGCACAGCATGAGCAAGGGTGTCAGAGTGTCTGGGGAGTGTGAGCAAACAGAGGGGAGCAGCAGCTGGCAATAACTCTGAGTGACTGTGGTGATGAGCCAGAGCACTGCTCCTGGCCTTTGCTGCAGGGCTCTCACCTGTTCTGTGACACCTACAGCCATGTTCCTCTACCTTGGAATGGACACTTAAGAAAGGAACATATGGTTTTAAGGAAGAGAAACATCAGATCTCTCCAGCTAGGAGCCAAATCCTACAAAATCTGCTCCTTCAGTTACTGAAGAAAAGTACTAAGTGGCTGATTTGCACTGTGCCAAGATGTTTAACCATATAATTTAGCAATCAGTTATCCCTACAAACACGTATCAGCTGCAGTGACCACTGTGGAGAGTACCAGAGCCACAAACAGCCACAGAAGTGCTCAGGACTTTAACATCAGGATGAATCTTGAGAAGGATCCTAATTTCCATCTCCCCAAAGACTAAGTCCCCCTGACACCTGCAAATTGTCCCACAGCTGGAGCTCCTCCTCCCAGCCACAGCCCAGCCTCGGTGCTGGTCAGATCTGACATTCTGCCCATCCCTGTCCCCATCTGGAGAGCACCAGGCCCAGTGCAAAATCTGTTTGTGCTACACTCCCCTGCTTCCAGCATGGAAGCAGACATTCTTCTCTCCTTCCTAGCCTGCAGGAGCATTTGTGACAAGTGGTCTGTACATGCAGACCACGTAGCAGTTTGCCTGGTACCTCGTGTGGAGGCTCTGTTCACAGTCCTGCACTGGAAATCTCCAGTCACAGCTAACAGCAGTCTATGAACTCACTGCTCTGTCCTGGGATGCTCAGTGTGACTCTCCCTGTCACAGCCTGSACCTGCCTCCACCACACAAACCACACACACAGCCACAGTGGGCTCGGAGCCTGCAGCTTTCCATGGGCCTGCACATCACCATTTACCCCTTCCTGTGCACACAGCTCAGCACAGCAGCTCGCCCTGGTGCAAGAGCCCAAATGCATCCTCTTGGTGCTCCCCTGATCAGCAGACATGCAAAGAAGAGGGAGAAAAAAAAGTCTTGCTACCTGTCCTGAATGTCCGGCTATTGCAGMCCTTTCCAGCGCTGCCACCGGGCGCTGCGGTGTTGGAGGGGACACTCAGGTCCCTCCACTGGCAGTACCAGCCCTGCACTGACCTGCAGCTCTCCCCAGGGTCACAGGGCTCAGATCCAAGCAGGAATGGACCTGGCGTAGAGCAGAGCAGCAGGAATCCCAGCGTGCAGGCCATGCAAGGTTCAGGTGGGCTCCCCAGTGAACATCGTGCCCATTGTGAGCTCACCTGAAGGGTGCGGGGGCTCTGTGGCTGCTGAGAGCCCCAAATGAGCCGGGGGAACTGCCTGGACATCCAGCTCCATGGGCCAGCCCAGTCCTGAACCCTCAGAGACGCTCGAGGGGAGCGGCTGGGAGCTTACAGAGGGAGAAATGGGAAATAAAGCAAGAGGACAGGGTGGGAAGGGGGGCTCAGTTCTCATTCCCAAGCATTTGAACTCCCAGACTCAAGCAGGCTTTGCAAAGCGTGTGCGGACCCTCCTGGCAGAGCAGCCGGCAGCTGCCTCACCAYGCTGCAGTTTTTATAATTCTGGGAAACACTTATAGACAGACACTGGCACTCATAAATTATACAACTCATTTGCATATTCCAGTCATGAGACATTATGCAAATGTGACCTGATTTGCATAATGGATTCTTCTTGTCGCTTCACTTGCTTCATGCTTTTAAAAAACAAAATGAAATAAAATGAAAGCACAGGAAGGTGAAGGCAGCAAGTTCCCAGCACTGCTGCGCCTCCTCCTGCCACACTGTCACCCTCACCAGCGGCACACTGGGCTAAGGGAGAATAAAAAACCAAAGCACTCACATGGGTTATTTCTCTCATAATTCCAACAAACTAACTTTCTTTTGGTTTTAACGCTTCACCCCAAGAACACATCGGGGCTGATTAGGGAACTGAGCTCTGGCAGGCAGGACAAGCCTGTGGTGGCTGGGGGGCCTCTGATGCTTGGTGCTGCCATGCAGGTGCTTGGGCTGGGATGTCCTGTGCTGTGAGATGTCCCCGGACTGCCATGGGGCTTTGGGGCACGCAGCTTCCCTGCTGAAAMTCCAGCAGCCCTCGCTTACAAAGAAAGGTGCTTGGGAGAGGCGAGGGGAGGGGCTGCACCGATTGTTTATAGCAAAATACAGTGGTGAGACGTTGGAAGGATGAAGCAGGAGTGTCAGCCGCCCCAGCCACGCTCCARCAGGCGACGGCTGCCCGTCCATCCCTTGGCAGGGCTGCTTTGGCTGTGGGCTCTTCCCTGCCCCCCTGCACCCGCGCGAGGCTCAGCCGTGCCAGGCGGCTGGCGTCTCTACCCTGTGGGAAAACTTAACTGTAATTCTTCAGCTTTTAAAATCAATTAACCCGTGTGTTAATTAACATCAAGTCGACGGGAGGAGGAGGAGGAGGGGAGAGCGAGAGGGAGGAGGGAGGAAAAGAGCTGCAAGGGCGGATGGCAGCGGAGTTGGCACAGTGCCATCCATTCAGTGGCAACGCCACAGCTCCCTGCGATCGCGGCAGCGGGTATATGTTACGGGGGCCCTGTGTGCGGGCCAGACAGTGCCGTAGAGCCAAGGGAGATTATCCAGAGCCCCAGGAGCAAACGGCAGCCAGCGACCGCAGGCGCAAGTGCCAGGATTACAGCCCRGGCTCCGCCGCCAGCCCTTCCTCGGACGCACGCCATGGGGATGGGGCTCCCCCACCAGCGCCGCACAACTCGGACTTCCAGCACTTTGCCCCCCTTTAGCCATCATTCTGCCGCAGTGGAGCCAGCACAACGGATGCTTTCACACCCTGTGAGACAAAGGCCGTCGTCTCCGCCATGACACCGCTCCGTTCCAAGCCGAGGCCGGCATCTTGGAGTCTTTAAAAATAAATGGAAAAGGGAAATGCGAATAATAAACACAGCAATCGAGAAAACCTCATCAACAAACCCCTGGTGCCCGCTCTCTCCATGCCAGGGGCAACACGGGCATCTGTCGCAGCAGAAGGCGTTTGTGTGGGGCTTTCTTTTTTTTTTTTTTTTTTTTGGCTTTTTTTCCCCTGCAAGCTGTTGGCGCATTTTGTCATTCAGGTTCGTTTACAATTAATGCCAAAAAAACCCCAACCACACCCAGCCCAGTCAACAACAAACAAAAGGGAGCAGTCGACACGAAGGGAGAAATGCCATGAGAAGCTGCAAGAATGCGAAGCCCGGCCGATGCCGTTTCCATTTGGACAAGCTGAGGGAAAGGTGCCAATTCTGCAGCTTGGGAGAGAGCCGAGGAGCGAACGCGAAGGTCTCCGAACAGCCGAGGGAAGGAAGGCAGGAAGGAATACCGCTGCACACGGCAGGATCAGAGCTGCACACAGCCTCTGCTGGGAGGAGAGGGAACATTTGACGATGTAGAGAGCGAGATGCCTGTGTATGCACATGGAACAGTGCGTACAGACAGACACACAGGCACACAGCACCGCGGGCTGGTGCAGAGCTGTGCGAGTGGGGGGTGAAGAGGTGTGTGTGTGCCTCTGTGTATATACACACGGCGTCTGTGTGCGGGGATTTATTTGTGTGCATGCGTGTAACACACATGCAGGGAGATGTATGTTTGTGTGCCTCTGTGAGAGAGAATGATAGGGAATGAGGGAGAGACAGACAGACAGACAGACACACACACACACACTCACCCACTGTCAGTATATGCATCTCACTTTTGACCTAGGTATACACGGAAGACAAAATAAAAATCATACTGGAGCAGCAAGCAGGCAGCAGAGATTTATCTACATTCACTGCTATCACCAGGGAGATGAATGGGGCCGATCTGAAGCCCTTCACGAGATCCACTATGGGAGTGAAGGAGGAGGAGGGATGCCACACAGACATGCACAAACTTGAAGACAGAGAGATTTGGAAGGTGCTACTTGTGAAACCCAGGTGGCACTCGGAGGGCGAGCRAGGGAAGGAGCTGCGTGGGCACCCTGAGGCTCCGGAGGGCACGGGGGCTGCTGGACAAGGGCGTCAAGGGACAGGCGTTACTTACGGTGTCTGCGCTGCTGAGGATCCTGCAAGGGGCTCTGGTGGCACTGGGCGCTGAGCCAGGGAAGGGCACTGGAAACAAAAGGGAGAGACAAAAAATAAAGTCATACAACGGGAATATTAATTGCCTCTCTTGCGGATTTTACAAAACTCACAAAATGTTTTCTTTTCGCCTGGTGATTGTTTTGTGGATTGGTGCACTTCCCTTCTGCATGGAAAATATTAGCATGGGATTCACAGCCCAGCTACAGGGCTCAGGATTAACAGCACTGGCATTTTTTGGGCATTTTTTTTTTTAAACGAATGAGCTTTCGCTGTTAATGAGGAATCATCGTTTGGCTAATGAGCTTTGAAACATTAAGAGAAAAGAGGGTTTTTTTCCTGTTAATTGCCCTGGTGTGACCGCATGGATGGATTACAAAAGACAGCAGTAGGAGCGCAGTACAAAGAGGGGAAATGTCTCCTGGAGTGGGATAAATGCAGAAATGGGTGATGCATCCCTGCACATCTCCTTCCTTCTCTCTCTCTTACTCCCTCTCTGCCAACTGCTATGGGTTTCCATAACTCCGCAATCAAAGTGGATGCYCGGGGAAGATTATTATAGTCAAACAGTGAAGCGGCGGCAGCTAATGTCTCCAGTGTTTAATCATCATACAGTAGAATGGTTTTATGCATATTTCATTTGCATATCATTAAACCATGCTAGCGCGGGACAYTCAGAGCTGGAGAGGTGCAAGGTTGAAGGGGGAGAGTGGGAGAGTGAGAACGAGACAGAGGGAGGAAGGTCCCTGTGATGCCTTTCTTCAAAAGCCAGGGACTTGTTCCATGATCTGTCTTCTACTTTTACTAAAATCATGATGACTTGGAAACGTTTGAAGTTGGATATAACCTTGGATTCTTCTAATTCCAGCAGAGTGATGTATTATAAAGAGGGAAATGATGCAGCACTAGACATTTAAAGGAATATAAGCTCCAGTGGAATGGAAATAGAAGCTCTTTGGGGAACAAAGTGGCAGAGCCAGCCACAGCTTCARCACTGCTGGGTTCATACTGGCAAAGGATACCAAAGTAATACAAAAGAAATGAAGACAACACATATATTAAGATGGAGATTATATTTACTGTTTCCCTTTTCCTTTTTAAAGGCACAAAGAAGGATGGAACCAGCGGTAATTTACACACTAATTAGCGAACTGTTGCCTCTTTTTGTGTTTGTTTTTCTTCTCTYTTTATTTTGGAGAGGGGTGTTTTCACCGTTGAAGTGATGAATCAATTATTTGGTAGCACAGATTCTTCTCCACTGGCACAGATCAGCAAGAGAAGGTGGTGGCTGCGGGGGGAGGAACACAGTGGGCTCTTTGTAGATCTTATACATGCACAACATATTGATTGGAGTCTTTATAAAGCTCCCTCAATAGACTATTTCTTTCCTGGAGACCAGCAGCTGGTTAGCCACCATTGGCGACTCTTCAAACATCCTTTTGGCTGGGGGCAGTTCTGCTGCTGTTTGTTGTTGTGCTTTATTTTTCCTCTTCACAATGGGGGTTGCGGGTGCCCCCGCTGCCCATGCTTCTGTATAGGAGATGGACAGACAGACAGATGGAATTGAKATCAAGAAAATCTCTTGAGCTGGATGGGGAAGTTTGCTTCCAAACGAAATGCTGTTTTATATTTAAATTACCTTCCTTTTCCTCCCCCACTTCTCCTCCAGGTCTTTGTGTCAGTTATGAATATTCAGATGAGCTGTGATGTGATTACACTGTACAATTACTTGTGTCCATGGCAGAGGCAAAGGCACTGAGGAAAGACAGAGCCAGATGAGCTTGGAGCTCATTTGGGGTTTGTTTTCTGTATTTTCCCCCATCTCTGTGACACTGCGGTACATGCAGATGTCGCTGTTGTTCTTCGTAAAGCCCTAATGATATGCAAAAGCATAACGACCCCATTTGGGTTCAGAGCATCAACAAAATATTATTGGGGGGGGAGGTAATCCTAACCGAAGGAATGTCCACATAAATTATTTTTATTTAAATGAAGAGGTGGCAGTGAGGCAGAGGAAGTCACATGAATACATGCATAATGTGAGCCCACAGAAAGGTTATCACCAAGGAGAAGAGGGTTTTGCACTGTGCCTGGGACAARCAGGCTCATTTGGGGAAATCGTTCAGCCCACCACGTGATTTAGTTATTTATCATCACTCATCCCTCAGCCAGGGCACTGGGCATGCTCGCTGCTGCAGACCGGGACTGACGGGAGCTGGGTGCCCGRGTGATTCGGGTTTTTATTCAGAATTGCCATGAAGTGTGCAGTGGAAGGGGGGTGGGAGAAAAGGAACCAGAGGGAGAGTGTTTTAGGTGCCACAGCTCAGTGGCAAAGGAGAGGCCTGATGGCAGCTCCAGTGCAGTGACAACAGGCCCAGCACTCGGTGCTGGCTGATGCCAGGCTGGCATGCCCGCTTCCCAGGGATGGAACACAGCGGCTGATGGTTCCCTGCAGAACACCAACACCACCTGGCCCTGCCTCATCTCTCTGGTCTCCAGCCTCAAAGCAGCTCAATGCCAAGCTGCCCAGACCAAATGGAGCCTGGGAATGTGGAACAACCGAAACCAACACAAAGCAACTCCACAGAAAGCTCATGCCCCCACCATGCCCTTGTCACCGTTCCAGGTGCCAAATCCTTCCCCCACCTGGTTTTGCCCTGGCCACAGAGCACAGTGCCCCATCCTGAAGGGTGCCTTGGCAGGGCATGAGCCGTAGGGAAGGAGGAAGTCGGCTGCCAAGGTGGAAGGTAACACTGGGACCCACAGCCGGGCCGGGAGCACAGAGGTGGCAGTGCAGTGTCACTGTCCCTTCCCGTGTCCGTGCTGATGGATTGCCCTCCTGCCCGCTCTGCAGGGCTGTCCACTCTGTCCGTAGATCCTGGTGCAGCCCATCACCCTGTCCATGGCTGGCTGTGAACCTCAGAGGGCTCTCTGACCCAGACATGGAGCAGGCTGCAGAGCAAATCCATGGCTCCAGCCATGGCCTCGCTTGGCTGACATTTCTCCTGCAGCCCCCCAGTTCCTGCTCCCATTGCACATCAGACAGGAGCTGATGTGCTCCAAGATGAGCCCAAAGGCTGGGGACTACCAGAGGGGTCTGGCAGCCTGCTGCCTGCTSCTTGGGCAGAGAAATCCCCAGGGAAGATGGACCAAAACTTAGGAGCAAATGCAGTCAGTCACTCTTTGCACAAATGCAAYTGAAGAGGAGCAGGAAGATGTGGTACTCTGCTGGGAAAATGAGCATGGAGCATACAGAGGGTGAGCAGAGGAAGCRGGGATGCAGCACACAGTGAGAGTTGGGATGCTCACCCATCTGCACACAGTGCCCAATGCCCTCCGATGGTTCCTGCCACTTCCCAACACACACAGGTGGGAAACAGTACCAGAATCAGCACCCCCGGGCTCCAGGACACTCAGATTGCAGCCTGGGACCATTTGCAAGTGAATCTCCTCATGGAGACTTTAGGAAAGGGCAGCTCCCAGAGCTCTGCAGGAGCTATTTATTGTGCTGCTTGTCAATTCACCAAATACCCTGAAGAAATTGCTAGTTAGGAAAAGGAAATTCAAGCATTTATGGAATATATTGTTATTCAAAACACCAAAAGAATTGTTTTGCAAATAGTAGCACTGCTGMAGAGGGGAGGGAAGTACATCAGTCATTTGATATTACATATAAGCAGTTTATTAAAGAATTAAATATTTATAGACTATAAAGCAAGCAGGGCAATGAGTTGCAAACAGCTTGCTGAGAAGTATGTTATAAACAATGAGTCTGTCAGGGACTAATAAAGTATGGAGAACACAAATGTTTTATAAAATCACCAGGCCAGTGATGAATCTCCAGAGCTGAGATGCTGCAGAACCCATGAAGGTCCTTGCTGCACCATGACCCCAGAGCCAGCACAGGAGGGATGGCTCAGATGGGGCTGTGTGACTGCAGCCAAGCACAAATGGGAATGCACAAATGGGAATGCACAAATGGGAATGCACAAATTATGGGAATGCACAAATGGGAATGCACAAATAATGGGAATGCACAAATGGGAATGCACAAATGGGAATGAACAAATGGGAATGCACATGATTCAGCGCTTGGAGAAATCTGATTTTTCACATTATTCTATACACAGATCTATTAATAGGAAGCTCAGGAATTTTCAGAAAGTTCAAGCACTTTCCTGTTCAGTTTTTTATGGCAGCTGATCTTCCGTTTCCAACAAAATTAGAGTTTGTGATTCAGATGAAGGTCCCCTCGGTGCACAGCCCTCCCCTCCCCTCCCCTCCCCTTCCCCTCCCCACCGGCAGCCCAGGCACAGTTCCCCTGTCCCCAGCAGTCCTCCAGAGCATCCACACTCGTGTTTGGAGAGCAGCAGCTCTCTCCATCACAGACACAGCATCTTTGCAAGGTACAACTCCGATTTTCAGGCTCTACAAGAGGAACAAATAGGTGGTGGCAGACCCCACAGACAAGAATTCCTTTTTGTTGGCAACACTGGGGGAAATGGCAGCTAACAGTAGAAATGGACATTATTTCCTTCATGGAAAGGACAGGTTTCCTATCCCAACAGACAGCAGTTGTAAGGACATTGCTGTTCTGTTACCAGTGGAGATGAAAGACTCTCCAGACTACTTTATATTTTTGTGAAGTCAACCCCAGGCCCAGAAGTGATTTGTAACATAGGGTGAACTAACACCTTTGGTCCCATCCAAGCAGATTCCTATAGCTGTCTGCACAATTCCAAGCCTGGTGAGGTGGATGAAAGTCCCAAGGAGTCCAGGCATTCATGACCCTTTGGAATTCAGTCTCTTTGTAAGCTTTGTAAGCTGCCAAGACTCAGTCACCAGCGATCCCATTCCTAGGCCAGCACTGCAGCACTCCCTGCACACCGGGACTGCCCAGAGATGGGCAAGGAGCATTTGTGTTGCCTCATTTCTGACTCAGTAAAGCCCTTATGAGGTGCCAGCATTAATTAACACAGCTAAGCACTGTCTGGGATTGGTGAAGGCAGATTCCATTTAGTAGGCAGAGA